TCAACCTATGTTTGCAAGTCCAAGTATGTTAATTTGATCCCTTTAATCCAATAACTTTGAGATTCATTGTGTGGAGGCTTTAGTTCTACCAATCCTCTAATGGATCTACAACACTTTTGGTCAATGTGGATCACTTAAACATCGTTGATCATTAAATGGTACTTGTGAGGATTCCAAATGGATAATATACTTGACAAAAAGCAAATGCAACTTGTTGTGTGGAGGCTTTGGTTCTACCAATCCTCTAATGAGTTCCAAATGCAAGTTTCAAGATGGTCATCCAACTAACCACTAATTATTGATATTTGACTTTATTTTGTGCTTTTATTTTTATGCTTTTTATTTTATGCACCATTTACTTTAGCATCTACATTTCATGCTATTTTCATCTTTGCTCACTTGAGCATTTACTTTCTTGTCATTTTATCTTTGCTCACTTGAGCCTTTCTTTTCTTTTTCAAGACACCTAATAATCAACATGAACCCTAAAAAGGCTTTAATGATGCTTGGACTATTTGGTTACTATCCTTGGTATTATGGAGTATTGGACTTCTTGGACTTAGGGTTAGAAACCTTGGCCTATGTTGGAGACCTTGTGATCTTAATGGATATTTTGTCTGGAGCTCTTGAGGTTTACCTCAAGACATTGGGTTGTTTCTTTGTTTTGTGTGCAGGTTATTATGATTACATACTTTGTTTGTAATCTGGAATTCACCCGTATCAGCCGTTACTCTGTCCAATTTTTGTGAAGACTTAATACACTTGAAGTTTGGTTTTTCTCAAGAGGTCTAGTATCTTTGCTTGTTTGGTTCCAATCCAAGGAGTGGGTGTTCTATCTTGGCTCATAATGTCAAGTATTGGCTTCTTGTTGGTTAGATGGTTCTTATCCTTCGCTTTTACCTTATGCTTTAAGATAGTCTCTTCTTCTTCTCCCATCTTCTTTAATTTCAAAAATCTTCTTACTCCTTTTTGAAAACTCTTCTTGTTTTTAAACTTGAACCACCTTCATAATAAACTTGGACTTATGTACATGCATTTTCAAAACTTTTCTAATAAACAAATTTCAAACAACTTAATAATACTTTGACATTTTTTTGTGAGAAGACTAAAAGTCAATCAATCTCATTTCAAACTATTTTGCCACTTTGGATTTTATTTTAAAACCTTTCTAAAAAGATTGGACTTTTGTCAATCCTTGTAGTGATGCAAACAATTATACTTCTACAATATGTAGTGAAGTGAGAAATTTTCCACTTGGGTGTTGAGCGAGGCATTGTTGATTTTTTTAAAATCCAAGCCATATCCTCCACTTTGAGATGATGCAAATTCTCATTTCTCATAATTGTGGGTAGTAAGTATGTTTTCCACACGGACAATGACGATGATGTCTTACCTTATAAAATTAATCAACACACTTGTGTTTTAAATTTTTTAAAAGGTGAACTACGTGTACCCTGTCCCCCTATTGCACGAAAGGTGGTACGTAGGCACTAAAGGTTCACAACCGCGGCGGGTGCAAAAATCATAAAAACTACTTCTTTTCTCACCTCCACCATCTATTTTTCGTACAACATTTTATAGCCAAAATATACAGATTTTTACAAAGAGGTTTTTGCGGAGTACCGTAGATGTTTAGGGTTCTAGTACCTTCCCTTTGCATAACCAACCCCCTTACCTTGAATCTTTCCCCTTCTTTTTGGGTTACTCGCTCTTTTCCCATTCCTTTGGAAACAATAAAGTGCGGTGGTGATTTTTACTTTGATATGTGTAAGTCTAGTCAATCTAATAGGTTGGTCTTAAACATTTCTACCGCTATAGTTAGCAACCTCTTTCTCCTCATACTGGATGTACGTCTGTGCTTTTAGCAGGAGGGAATCCAACATTGCATGAGTTTCTATATCGACTGCTTTGGAGAAGTCACAGGGAGGGTGTAAGCCACGCTAGAGAATATATTTCTTTATCTCGTCCATCGTGGAGACTTGGACGACTTCCTGATTAAACCTTTCATACGCTCAGAAGGACTCATACTTACCCTAGATGATGGCCTCCAACGTGACTTCTAATTTGGGGTATCAGTGAGATGCTGTGAAATTCCTGGAGAATTGTCTCCCCAAACCTTTCCAAGAAGTGATTGACTCATCGGGGAGGATTTGGACCCATCCATGGCTCCCTTTCTGAGCATTATCGGGAAGAGTCAATATTTGATTGCTCCTCGACATCCTCTATAGTCGAGCAGAGTATCGATGTTCTCGATGTGCTCGTCTGGATCTACTGTCCCATCGTATGTCCTTAGGTGTGAGGGCTTCTCCATACCAACAGGAAGCGGAGTCTCCGTGATTTCCCTATATAACGGGCCGTGGGGCTCGTCGTTGTGATAAGGAGATGTCGGTGAAGAGTAGTTGTTTCTTCCTCGTCGTGGGCTGCCATTATGACGAGGAGATATGCTCCTTTATTGGCGTTTCAGCTTGGGTGATGGTGAACGATCGTCATCTGGTTGTAGATTACCCTTTGTTTTCTTGGTGATCAGGAAGCGTCAATCTTTTTGGGGAGGGGTGCGACCTCGTTTTTTGAGAAACAAGATTTCTTGTTTCCCTTGTGTGGGACGGCGACCACGCTTTAATGGTGATGGACTACGGGAGTTTTATCGTTGGTATCTCTGAGGGGGAGATCTTGACAGACGCTTCTTCTCCCAAGCTCCAATCTCGTTGCTCTGTTGTAGGATTAGGGTATTAGTTTGGTTGAGAGAGGCGAGCAGAGCTGTTATGGCTGGATCGGCGTTGGGTGAGATTGGAACTGGCTAGAGGACCGTTGTTGGATCCTCGGTGGATTTCTTGGACTTCTGATTCTCCAAGAATTGAATGTCGTCGTGATCTGCATCGACTGATTTAGGGGACGCGGTTCGACCGTCTCTGGTGTCAAGAATATCCTCGAGGTGAAGAGGCTCTTCGTTCCCGTCTGTCTTGCGGAGAAGGGAAATAATGGTTTTTCCAACAATATGGTTGTCGTCATGGTTGACCATGATATGAGTCTTTGAATATCGCTTTGATCTCCAGTTTCAAGGAAAGGAAGATGGGAAAGACAAAATTCCCACAGAAGGTGCAATTGATCTCACCGGTTGATCACAACCTGAAGTGGGTCGAAAATATGATGTCTGCTTGGCTGGAAATTCGTGGAGAGGAGGGGGGTGTACCTGCAAGGTACTCTGACGATCAAGTAAGAAAGAGTGCAAAGAGATACAAGAAAGAGATTATGGTTTTTTTGAGTGATTATTGAATACCTGACTCTCATAAGTGTGAGGGTTTACGTAACACCCTCGGTGCGTAGCTATTGGATCATATTTTTGAGCCTAAATATTAGGTTCCTCAAAAATAGGTAACTGTCGGGATTTGGTCAAAACGGGCAGCCATGCTCGTAACTAGCCGTTGTCCCGAACAAGGAGGATATTACAGGCAAGTGCGTTTATGAGCGCTTTCTGGTTGTCTGCTCTACGGGTGTCGAGCAGACCTGAAGGTGGACGTCAATGCGGACAGGCGTATGGTCAGGGCATCGTTATCCTCACTATTCTTGCAGTGTGATCGACCATGTATGTTCGACCGAAGATCAGAGTTAGTGGGCCAAAGTTGTTGGATCATGCTGAAGGTAGAAATGATTTGGGCCAATTCTAGCCATTGGGCCAGTCCATAACACAAAGATAGTTTAATAAAAATATTAGGCAAAATACTCATTTTGGTCCCTTAACTATACCCCTGGGTTCAGATTGGTCACTTAGTTTTTTTTTTGTGTAACCTTGATCCCTTAATTTTTCTAATTAGCAACGAAAAAACTTTGAAATCGGTCGCTAAATTCGTCGTTAATTGGTCAAAAAAGACTAAAATGAAACATTTTGAAAGTTAAGGGACTAAAGTGACACAAAAAAAAATTAAGGGACCAATCTAAATTCAAGAGTATAGTTAAGAGACCAAAATGAATATTTTTCTAAAATATTATTATCTCTCTTTCATTTATCATATTTTTTTAATTCGTGTGAAATGATCTACTATGATAATTATTTTAGGTCCGAAGAAATATTATATATATATTTTAAAAAAAGTCATGTTAACTAGTCCCTCTGTTTTTTATTATAAGTCGTTTTAAAAAAAAAATTTGATACCACATTATAAGTCGTTTTACAATTCTAGCAAATAATTAATAATATATTTTTCTATTATATCTTTATATATTTATTATTCTTTCTCTTTTTAATTATGTAAATTTATATTTTATATGTTATTAATGATGAATAATTTTATAAAAATCTTCATTATTTCTCATTTTCATATCACAATCAATATTTTTTTTAATATATGTGAAAAGTCTAAAATAATTTTTAATAAAAAACTGAGATAATAGTGTTTATGACATTCTTTAAGAATTCAAAATATATAATAAAATATCTTTTAAAAAGTTAATTATTTTAATTCGAAATATATAATAAAATATCTTTTAAAAAATTAATTATTTTAATTTCTAATGTCTTGAATACACATTTTAAAAAATCCTTATTGTTATAAAATCTTAAAAAATGAAAAACAAAAAATTCTCCATCTTTTATTACATGATCTTCTTTTAAATTTTCCAAATATTATCATTCTTACACAATTATTAATGCTATAAGACAGAATTACTAGTATTTTTCAATGATAAATAAAATAGAAACAGTTAGATGTACTTTATGTCCCAACTTATCAAGATCCATTTTTAAGTAACTAGTCAACCATGTTTATTTTGTCTCAAACTCTATTGTTTAACCAGACAAAAGAAATTAAATGATGCTATAATATGAATACTATACCACTGTCGCACAACATCAAATCATCTCACAGGCCTTTTATACTGAAAGAACACAGAGAAGAGTACCATCCATCACTACCATTCTTTTAGTATGGCCAAACAAAACAAACCATTAACAAAAACACAATAACACTGTTTTTTATTTCATCTTCCAAGTTCCAAAAACAACAATGTCTCTTCTGTTTCTCTTTCTCTCTTTCATTCTCCTTCAACGAGTTTCCTCTCTCAACCAAGAAGGTCTCTACCTGTACCAATTCAAGCTCTCCTTAGACGATCCTGAGTCTTCCCTCTCCTCATGGAACAACCGCGACCAAACACCGTGTAACTGGTCCGGCATAACCTGCAACAACGAAACAACCACCGCCGTGACTCAAATCAACCTCTCCAACTTCAACCTCGCCGGTCCATTACCAACCTCAATCCTCTGTCGTTTAACCAATCTCACCACCCTCATTCTCACCAACAACTCCATCAACCAAACACTACCTCCAGAAATTTCTCTCTGCACCTCCCTTACTCATTTAGACCTCTCTCAAAATCTCCTCACCGGCACACTCCCACAGACCCTACCTCTCCTCACTAACCTCCGTTATCTCGACTTAACGGCTAACAACTTCTCCGGCTCAATCCCCAACTCCTTCGGAACATTCCAGAATCTTCAAGTTATCTCTCTCGTTTACAATCTTCTAGAATCTTCCATTCCTGCTTCTTTAGGAAACATCACCACTCTCAGAACGCTCAATCTCTCTTATAACCCTTTTCAACCTTCTCGGATTCCGCCGGAAATCGGAAACCTAACAAACCTCCAGATTCTCTGGCTTAGTTCATGTAATCTCGTTGGTATTATTCCTGAGACATTCGGGAATTTGAAGAGACTCACTGTGCTTGATCTTTCCATGAATAATCTTGAAGGTTCTATTCCGAGTTCGCTTGCTTTGATGACGAGTTTGAAGCAGATTGAGCTTTATAATAACTCGTTGTCCGGTGAGTTACCTTCCGGAATGTCGAACCTTACTTCGTTGAGGCTCATTGATGTTGCTATGAATAGTATTGGAGGTGTTATTCCCGATGAGTTGTGCCGTTTACCGCTTGAGAGTCTGAATCTCTATGAAAATCGGTTTACCGGTGATTTGCCGGCGAGTATAGCTGAATCTCCAAATCTCTACGAGTTTAAGATTTTTACCAACTTTTTATCCGGTGAGTTGCCGGAGAATCTCGGGAAGAATGGTCCGTTGATATGGTTTGATGTTTCAAATAATTCATTCTCCGGGAAGATTCCGATGAGCCTGTGCGAGCGCGGCGCATTGGAGGAGTTACTGATGATACATAATTCGTTCTCCGGTGATATTCCAGCGAGTTTGGGTGCTTGTAGAAGTTTGACGCGTGTTAGGTTGGGTTTTAATAATTTGTCCGGACAAGTTCCGGCGGGTTTGTGGGGCTTACCGCATGTGTATCTTCTTGAACTTGTTGACAACTTGTTTACTGGTTCAATTGCTAAGACCATTGGTGGTGCTGGGAATCTGTCTTTGTTGATTGTATCGAATAATAAATTCTCCGGTTTGATTCCTGAAGAGATTGGAAGATTGGAAAGTCTTCAGGAGTTTTCTGGTGGTAATAACCAGTTCAACAATTCGTTGCCTGAGAGTATTGTGAATCTCTCCCAGCTTGGGATTCTTGATCTTCACAACAATAAGATTTCTGGTGAGCTTCCGAAAGGAATTCCATCTCTTAAGAAACTCAACGAGTTGAATTTGGCTAATAATGAGATTGGTGGGAAGATTCCTGAGAAAATTGGCAGTATGTCCGTGCTTAACTTTCTTGATCTTTCCAGTAATCGGTTTTCGGGTAATGTTCCGATGAGTTTGCAGAATTTGAAGCTCAATCAGCTGAATTTGTCTTACAATTTGCTTTCTGGAGAGATTCCACCTCTTATGGCCAAGGCTATGTATAGGGATAGTTTTATCGGTAATCCTGGTTTGTGTGGAGATTTGAAAGGTTTGTGTGATTACAAAGGAGAAGGGAAGAGTGCTAATTTTGTTTGGCTGCTTAGAGCTATTTTCATAGTTGCAGCTTTGGTTTTTGTCTTTGGTGTGGTTTGGTTCTACTTCAAGTACAGGAATATTAAGAAGGCTAGATCTATTGATAAAACCAAATGGACATTGATGTCATTTCATAAACTGGGTTTTGGTGAAGATGAGGTCTTGAATTGCCTTGATGAAGATAATGTCATTGGAAGTGGATCATCCGGGAAAGTCTACAAGGTTGTGCTTCGCAACGGGGAAGCTGTTGCAGTGAAGAAGATATGGGGAGGGGTTCAAATGGAAACGGAGAGTGGAGATACTGAAAAGAAACAATTTCAAGATAATGCTTTTGATGCAGAGGTTGAAACTTTGGGCAAAATTAGGCACAAGAACATTGTTAAACTATGGTGTTGTTGTACCACTAGGGATTGCAAGCTATTGGTTTACGAGTATATGCCAAATGGTAGTCTTGGTGATTTGCTGCATAGCAATAAAGGAGGATTGTTAGATTGGCCGACTAGGTACAAGATAGCTCTTGATTCTGCAGAAGGCCTCTCTTATCTGCATCATGATTGTGTTCCTCCTATAGTTCATAGAGATGTGAAATCTAATAACATCTTGTTGGATGAAGACTTTAGTGCAAAGGTTGCAGATTTTGGGTTAGCTAAGGCGGTTGAAACCAATGGGAAAGGAACTAAATCCATGTCCGTCATAGCTGGTTCTTGTGGTTATATTGCACCAGGTTAGCCAAAGTTTCATGCTATTCATTCCACTTTTTCTTCATTTTTAATCTTATTGTGGTACTACTTCTGCTTAACTCATAGTCACTGCATTTGTTGATCATTATAGATTAATTTGAGGACAACTAGGAACTTTTTTGACATGATTTTAACCTTTTGCAGAATATGCATACACACTTAGAGTGAACGAGAAGAGTGACACATATAGTTTTGGTGTTGTTATCCTTGAGTTAGTCACTGGAAGGAAGCCGGTAGATCCCGAATTCGGAGAAAAAGACTTAGTTATGTGGGCATGCAACACCTTAGATCAGAAAGGTATCGACCACGTGCTTGACTCGAGACTTGATTCTTTCTACAAAGAAGAAATTTGCAAGGTCCTCAACATTGGCCTAATGTGCACGAGTCCTCTTCCAATCAACCGGCCCGGAATGAGAAGAGTGGTGAAAATGCTACAAGAGGTAGGCCCTGAAAGCCAATCAAAGTCTTCCCTAAAAGCAGGAAAGTTGTCCCCTTATTACTATGATGATGGGTCAGATCATGGAAGTGTTGCTTAATTTTGTTAAAGGGTTATCAAGTTCTAACTAAGCTTTTCTACCCCTCCATGGTTTCCACTCATGATTTTTCTTCACAAAAATTGTTTAAAGAAAAGATGTGAGAATTTATTTTAGGAGGGTTGAAAATAGAATCATGACAAGTTCATGTTTTTTACTAGTTACTACCTCAAGTCCTTTCCCTCCCCGACTCAATTTAAATTTGCTCTTCAATTTGCATTAATATCTCATATTCACAAGTGTGATATTCTGAGTTCTGACTAATTAATAAAACGCGACATAGTACTAATATCAGATAATTCAATTTTCATGTAAGAAAACCGTCCCTACATTTAGAATCTAGTTAAATCATGTTCTAACGCTGATAATTTTTTTGGACTGCCATAAGCGTGACAATTTACATCTTGCAGTGGTAGTATCTGGTATGTGCTGGGTACAGCTATAAGGAGTGAGTTAATGAGGTAGTTAGGAAGGCACTGTCCTTGATGGTCCCATGTTTAATTACAGGTTCCATCCATTTGTTGCATACTAGCACTATACTAGTACTACTGTGTTTTTGTGATTAATGCTGCTGGGGTATATAGATATCCAATTTCAAATGATCAGAGTATAACAGTGCTAATTTTTAGCTGAATTCAGCTGTGGAATTTGCCAATTATTTGGTCAATTCTCATTTTGGCCGGTGGTTTCTTTTATGACAACCATTCACTTGTGTAAAGAAAAGGTATTGGAATTTATTGCAAGGTTTGTTTTGTATTATTTTTGTTTCATCTTGATTGACAACTCTTATTTATCCGATTGCTTTATTATATCATCTTGCTAATAGGTGTCCTAATCATTAAAACATTTATTAAGGAACTAAAAGAAAATAAAGAAAAATAATTATTAATTGTTGTAAGGTCACTTATTTCTTAATTCACTATGTTACAATTTAGATGGGAATTGCTGCTAACTTTCATAATATTTTGAATTTACAAGTCCGAGCTTATAATTTAATGGAGACAATTTGTCTTTATATGGAGTTGTCAAGTTTCAATATAAAGCTATCGCTTAAAATGGTAGTACAAACCACTCACTATAAACAAATGTTCAAACAAACATACAAATATAAATGTAAACAATGGAAGAGATAAGAATATTGTAACAACTTCTTTGGGTTTTAAGATCCAAATCTAAGAGGTTCTATAAATATCTTTGTCCTATAAATTTTTTTGTCATGAAGTTGAGTGAGGACATTAAATTTATTCAATAATCGATTATATATAAAGCTTTTGACAATCTTTGTATGAGTTTGTTCTAGCACTACAATAATCCTAAAATTCTCTGACAGTCTTATACAATTAAGGGCTATCAGTCATTGTATTTTAAAACAATTACAATTAACATTTATTGTGGGTCCGATAAAACTAATCTAGATCACACTCATTATCATTCATCATCTATTTTCATCACCTTCTTTAAGAGAACGACAATACGAAATTCAAAGATTGATATCAACAATGAATACATTTCTCTTATAGATGTTTGGTATGATGTTAAAACTAGGAATTGATTTAGCTCTTCTGTATATTGAACGATATCTTCGAGTATTTGTGTGCACCCTTGCATTAGAAGTCATTAAGAACCTTAAGAAGCATATAGAACAAGTTTGGTTTGGTTATCCATTGGTCTCATAAAGGAAAAATCAGTTTTTGCACAAATTTAATGTGCATATGTCGACATATTCGTGCTTCGTATCGACAGTGTGCTGTTGTTTTAAAACAAATAACTTTATGTAAATTTGTTCGTATCAACACATACCTTTAAACTACTCTATGTGTCAACACATACGGGCTTCGTATCAACTCATGTGCTATTGTTTTAAAGCCTAAAAGTCTTTAGAAGTTTATGTCGACTCATGACCTGTTACAGGTCGACACGTGTGCCTATTTTTGTCACGTATGTGTCGACATATCACTTGTACGTATTGACACATCATATACCAAACTTCAAAAATTAGTTTTCTTTTTGTGTTTCTAGATCTTTCTTTTGTCTCTAAATCTCACACTTATATATATATATATATATATATATATATATATATATATATATATATATATATATATATATATATATATATATATATATATATATATATATATATATATATATATATATATATATATATATATATATATATATTGTAAGTGTTTAGTTATTGGCATGTATTTTTGGTAAAACCAGGTGTGTAAATGTCATGACTGATGTCATAACATTCTGGATTATTAGGTACTTTATGCAGAAAAAGTATGGCATACAGTAGCTACTGTTTATGAGTGTGTATCTGAGCATTTTGCAATGATCACATTTATTGCCTTCTACCAAAATCAGTAAACAAGAATTCTGATGTCATAACAAATGTTAAGACATCCTGTACTGATCTAACAGTAGTGCAGTTTGGTTAATTCTGAGATTTTTCAGGAAGTTGGCTCATTCCTTCCAGAACAGAATCTCCCGTGGTCTTTGGGTTAACCTAGCTCAACCCTAATCTGGTTGATAAAGTCTTGTGACCAAGTCTTAAGGTTAAACCTAATTAACCCTAGCTTTTTGTGGAAACCCTAACTGAAGAATCAGCTGCATATATATTCAACAGGAATGCTGGCTGCAGAGTAACTCTTTTGACTGAAGATCAATTAGGAGCTGTATAGTTTTAACTGCTGTAATCCAAGCAAGTATCATTGTGATAAGTGACTTGGAATAGGTTTTGATTGTAAGGGTTTTTGTATCACTCAAAGCTTTGAAGCAAGAGTGTTTGTGTCTCTTGACTAAAGCTTTGAAGCAAAGTCAAGTTAGGTTTATGTATCACTCAAAGCTGTGAAGCAAGAGTGTTTGTGTTACTTGATTAAAAAGCTGTGAAGCATAATCAAGTGTATGTTCTAAAGAGTGTCTTCATTAATTCATTAGTCAATTGTTTTAAGTATCACTGTTGTGATTGAGGGGGAGTGAGTAGGAACTCAGGTTTAAGTTGAACTTAGATTGAAGTTGCATTGGGTAGGTCTTAAGTGAATGAGATAAACTGGTTGGTTTATTCCTGAATTAATATCTCTTATAGTGGATTTCCTCCCTGGCTTGGTAGCCCCCAGAGTAGGTGTTGTTTCACACTGAACTGGGTAAACAATTGACTGGGTTCTTTACTGTTTTTATTTACTGTCTTATAGAAAGTCAGATACGGTGTCATAACGTTCACTGTGACATTGAGTATCTGCTGCCAGAATTTCAATTGGTATCAGAGCAGGCACCCTGCCTGTATTACTGGGTGAGATCTAGGGATATCACTTTCTGGCACTATGGACAAAGAAGGAGTTTTTGGAAATAGACCACCCATTCTGGATGGAATAAATTATGACTACTGGAAACCTCGATGATTGCCTTCTTAAAATCACTGGACAAAAAGTCTTGGAGAGCTGCTGACAAAGGATGGAACCATCCCACCAAAACTGAGAAAGATGGGACAATCAGTCTGAAGCCTGAGGAAGAATGGAGCAAAGAAGAAGATGATTTAGCCCTGGGTAATTCCAAAGCTTTAAATGCCTTGTTCAATGGAATTGATAGAAACATATTCAGGCTTGTACACCAATGTGAACTGGCCAAGGAAGTGTGGGACACTCTCAAAACTACCCATGAGGGCACATCCAAAGTAAAAATGTCAAGGCTTTAGATGCTGACTACCAAGTTTGAGAACCTAAGGATGAAGGAAGATGAAACCATTCATGAGTTTCACATGAACATCTTGGAGATTGCCAACACCTTAGGAGCATTGGGTGAAAAGATGTCTGAAGAAAAACTGGTGAGAAAGATTCTCAGATCCTTGCCTAAAAGATTTGCAATGAAGGTAACTGCTATAGAGGAAGCCCAGGACATCAGCAACTTAAAGGTGGATGAACTCATTGGGTCTCTTCAGACTTTTGAGATGGGGATCAGTGACAATGTTGACAAGAAAAACAAGGGCATAGCACTTGTATCCAACACTGAAGATGAAAACAAGGAGGATGAAGAAGAAAATATTTCAGAAGCTATAGCCATGCTTGGAAGACAATTCAACAAACTCATCAAGAGAATGGATCCAAAGTCAAGGTCAAATGTTGATAACATTCCCTCTGACATTAACAGATCTTATGACTCCAGCAGAAGACCAAGGTCTGAAGAGAAGGGAAATCAAGGCAAAGGAATTCAATGCCATGGTTGTGAAGGATATGGGCATATTCGAGCTGAATGTCCTACCTTTCTTAAGAAACAAAAGAAAGGAATGACTGTTACATGGTCTGACTGTGATTCAGAAAGTAATTCTGAAGAAGAATCTGCCAAACTAGTTACTGCACTAACTGGTGTTTGTACCTCTGAAAGTGACACTAGTGACGAGGAAGTGACATTTGAAGAACTGGCTGATACTTACAAGAAATTGTGTATCAGAAGTGCTGAAGTCTGTGTGCAAAATGAGAGACAGACAAAACTCATCTTAAAGTTGGAGGCTGAAAAAAGGGCAGACCTTGAAACTATAAGTCATCTAGAAGGGGAAGTTCAAATGCTGAACTCAAAATTGAACCAGATGACCAAATCTGTCAAGATGCTGACAAATGGAACTGACAAATTGGAAGAAATCCTTCAGGTTGGACAAAATGTGGGAAACAAGTCTGGACTAGGATTTGTGGGAGCAAAGAAATCTGGTGTAGACAAGAAGATCAGGTCTGATAAACAAATGTCAAAGCAGATGTCACAACATAACACTCAACATCGGGAACAGAGAAATATGAAGAAAAAGTACCAAAGATGGAGATGTCATCATTGTGGGAGGTTTGGTCATATAAAGCCCTTCTGCTTCAGATTGTATGGATACCCTAATCAGAACCCAGGTGTCAAACCTAAGTCTAACAGGGTACCACATACTCCTCAATGGAAGAAAAAGGCTACTGCCCTGATAGCCCACACTTCCCTGAGAGTCTCTGCAAAGGAAGACTGGTACTTTG